TGAAGTCCCTGCCCCACTGACTCCACCAGCCCCTCGCACAACTGCACCCACCACGGGCAGCCACTCCCTGGGGGCCTATTCAGTTTACACCCAAGTGAAGGAAGATGAAATGTAAAATGCAGTTCTTCAGTCACACTAATCATGTTTCTCAAGCGCTGAGAACCCACGAGGCCAGAGGCCACTCCTGGGTGTTCCTGTCACCCTCGGACCTTCTGCCTCTCAGGAGCCTCCCTCCCCGGCTCCAAGCTCCGGACGGTCCTCTCCTGCCTGGGGGGCGCCCCTCCCTCCGGCCGCACCTCCTCCTCTCCCCTGGCCTTCCCTAAGCCATCCCGGCCACGCCCATGGACTTCCCTCCTTTAAAGGCCAAATGTAATTTTATCCTCCGTGGATGTGTACACACACCCCGCCCGATGTCTTCATCCTGCCATCCATCGATGGACACCTAGGTGGCCCTGTATCTTGGCTGCTGCGAATCATGCTGCCATGGACATGAGGGTGCAGGTCCCTCTCCGCGATGATTTCATTTCCTTTGGGTAAATTCAGTAAAGTTACAGGATTAAAGAAAAACAATATACAAAAATCAGCTGCATCTCTATACGCTAACAACGAACTACTGGAGAAAGAAATTAAGAAAGCAATCCCATTTACAGCTGTATCAAAAAGAGTAAAATGCATAGGAATAAATTTAACCGAGGAAGCGTAAGCTCTGTGTACTCAAGAGTACAAACTGTTGATGAATGGAATCGAAGAGGACGTAAAGCAACGGAAAGACATTCCACATTCACAGGCTGCAAGAACTAACACTGTGGAAGTGTCCGGGTCACCCAAAGCGGGCCACAGACTCGAGGCGTTCCCTACCAAAGTTCCAAGGGCGTTTGTCCCAGAAATAGGAAAACAAACCTAAATTGTGTCCGGAACCACAGAAGACCCTGAACCGCAGAGGCAATGTGGCTGGCGCCCTAATACCACCTCGTGAAGGAGAGCCACAACCCAGAAACCGCACGTCAGCGTCCCGCGCCTCCGGAGGCCTGCGTGTGCGGACCCCTCTGGGCAGCGCCTCTGCAGCAGGGCCCCTCTGGTGCAGGCACGCCCCACGCACGGGAGGCAGGACACGTGGGAGAGGCTGACGCAGCGGGACAGGAGCCCCAGTGCCCACCCCAGACAGCGTGTCAGGGGCCAGCGCCCTCTGCAACAGGGCACACGCATACCGACTCCCATGGTCTGGGAGGGAGTCAAGCAGCTCAGACAAAAAGGTGGCTTCTGTCCCAGGGCCTGCGGGTGAGGGGCTGGGCCTCGGGGTCACGGATCCTGGGCCCTGCAGGCACCTGTGCCCACCAGGCCTCAAGCATGAAGTGCAGCCAGGGACACGGGGAGGGGGTGCGGCCCCCAGACCTACCCCTGCACCCGGGGCACCGGCCGCTGCAGGGAGACACCCAAGGGGCAGGCCCTGGGCTCTGGGAATAGAGGCCCATGAGCCCGGAGCCAGGGCCACCATGCCTGGCCTGCCAGCGTTACAATAAGTAGAAGCCACGCTGGCGGCTGCTTTTCCACAGACAAGCAATTCGAGAGAACGTGCGTGAGGCCCAAAGACGGGGAGGGGCCGCCGAGGCTCAGCAAGCCCTGGGCGAGCAGAGGGCGCGGGCCGAGCACCCCTGGCCGCCCCGGAGCCAGCGGGCCCCGGAGTCACAAGCTCCCTAAATGTGCGGCCGCGGGGCTCTCCTGCCACAGGCTCCCCGTCCCCCACAGGGGCCCCTGAGGAGGGCCCTGGGGTCCAGCCTCAAGAGGCCACAGTGCCACTGTGCACTGTCACCCCTGTGACCTGTGGTCCCGTGGCAGGGTCAGCCGGGGGTGCTCCAGACACCCCAGCTCTGTATCAGCTAAACTACGTCCCCCCAAATTCATAGGCTGAAGCCCAAAGCCCCAACGGGCCCTTTAAGGAGGTGACAAAGGAGAGGCCCTAACGCAGCAAGACTGGTGTCCCTAAAGGAGGTTGAAGAGAACCAGACATCTCTCTCTCTCTCCACGTGAGGCCTGCAAGGACAGACTCTTCTCACAGGGCACGACGCTCAGACCTGCCCTCAGAGGCCCCTCCCAGGGACGTACGTGACTGGTGTCCAGTCTCCGGCCAGGCGCAGCCACGAGCAGCGGTGTGGCCCTGGGAGCGGCTGGAGGAGCCGCCTGGCCCAGGGGGGCCCCACGAGAAGGGCCGCACGCCTAGAAGGCAGAGGGGCTGAGCTTTTGCCTGCCCCCAGGCAGACGGCCGCTCACAGGCAGGAACCCTGCGCGGCCGGAGGCCAAGGGCCTCTGACCTCCCTCCCATCCAGTGTGCCCCCTGCCCCACTGGGGAGAAGCCAGAGGGCGTGGCTGCAGCCAGCACCTCCACGGGGCCCAGTGAGGACACGGAGACTCTGAGGGAGCCCCCGGGAGGCTGCGGGTCCCGCCGGAGCCCACGCCAGCCCACAACGGCACCCAGCGGCCTCTGCGGAGCCAGATAAAGTCCAGCTACACTTCTCTGTCCACACCACACAGGAGGCGGTGGCTGTGGCCCAGAAACACCCCTGTGACCTCTCCTGTCAACCCGAAGCCTGTGCCTCCTCCAGACAGAGCGGGGCCGTGGGGGAGGGGCCCCGAGGAGAAGCAGCGAGGGGCGGGAGGAGACGACTGGGACAGGAGCCGCCCCAACGGCCCCAACGCCACGGCTGCAGACCGACAGCACGGGAAACACGCCGAGCATTCGAGGTCATCAAAATCCACACGTGGGTCCAGCCGTGGGAGGCGGGATGCATTCTTACAACAGCCCAGGGAAGGGGAGCCTGAGGCCAGCCTGGCGGCCTGCTGGATGAGGCCTCACCACCGGCTCCCTCCCACGGCCGAGGCTCCTGGGAGCTGGACCACGGCAGCCGGCGCGCGGAGCCCTGCTCGTGCGGAGCACACGGGGCAGCCGGGGAGCAGGGAGCGTCTCCCCACTGTCTGGGCTGCTTCTGGGCGGTCTGTGCTTTCTAACCGCCATCTTTCACGCTTGTGACGAACACCCCACGCTCAGTTCTGTGTGGTGCCTAGTTCCCAGCCTGGGCCAGGGCGGGTGGCATCCATCCCAGAGTTTTAAGCTACTTTCTAAGGGGTTAAAGAGTCAGCGAAACCTGTAATGGCCCAGCTAATAAACACCCAGCTTAGGGGAGAGAATCACCCGATCGCCAGCCTATGATTACCAGGTACTTTCATTGCCGAAAGATGCAATACAATTTCATGGTTACTTGGGCCTGTAAAATAGAAAAACCCCCCATTTTTAAGATATGAAAAGGTTCACGAGCAGGGAGCTGTCAGTTCAACAATGAGCCCGTGGTACAAATGAGTCAATTCATGACAAAATTTAATTTCAGGAAAATTAACTCAATAAAGATGCCACAATTGTGCTTAAAGTTTTAATACCTATTAGGAGTTTTAGCGAAGTGGTGCAGATCCATTTTCTGGCTCCTCAAAAGGCGACTGACTTAATACCTAATTTATTCGTAATGGAGACAGTGTTACACGGAAGTCTGTGTTTAATGAGGGGACCCAGGACCTTGGCCTAACCCATCATGAGTGCAGAGCGTTTGCAGTTTACGGGATATTAAGTTTTGTTTCCTGGGATGTTACAGGGTCCTGACTGATAACACCTGCTGACAGCCGCTTGAACCAAACAGCCCCCCGAAAAAGGCTTTATGTCCCAGGAAATGTTAGCAGCCAGCAGTTCTGTAGCTGCCAAGTATCTAGAAAGCCAAACCAAAGTGGGGGACTTGGGTGCAATCTACTGACCAGTCATAATTTCGGTTGTGAACACCATTAGAACACACAGGCCGCGGCAGAGGACAGCAAAGGCGAAGCACAGCGCCGAGAGCCGCCCAGCGCCCGTGGCCCCGCGCAGGGCACACGGCCCACCAGGAACAAGGCTTCGGGTTACTGTTCCAGACGACCTGGGAGAGGTGAGCTCAGGGTGCGAGGTCGGCGAGCGTGGGGCCCGGCAGGGCAGCAGCCGGAGATCCCCATCCTGCGGGAAGAACACTCCATCCAGACCAAGGGCGCCCTCGACAGGGGCCCGTCCAGCCTGCCCCTGAGCCCGGCCTCCCACCACCCCCCGCATGGACGGCCACACGCGGGAGCCCAAGCCAGCGTCTGGACTCCTGCTGCCCCACAAAAAGCCCGCTGCCTGCAGCTCCCACTCCCAGCCTCCGAAGCCAGCTGCCCGTCCAAGGCCTACGAAGGGCTGACGCTCAGGGCAGGAACAACTCTGCTTCCTGGAGTTCAGGATGGAACCCAGCCACCATGGGGATCCCACTCCAAGTTCACACAGCTGTGGCTACTCTGCACATGAGGAGGGGAGGCTGGCGTGCAGACCCGCAGCGCGGCTCAGCGGCAGGGAGTGTCTCCAACCAGATGAGAAGGTGCCAGGATGAGCAACAGGACACTCGAGGGAACAAAGGTGATTTGTTGCAGAAAACTCAATCTCCTGAAGAAATCAATTCCACCAAAATCGGTGGAGAGGAGAAAATTTCATATTGCACTGATTCTGTCAGTGATCTTCAAAAAATCTTTATTATGAATAACTCAAAACAGACAGCATGCGAGTCCTGAGTGTGAATGTTTCCGGCAGCCGCAACCCAGGCTCAGGCCGGAGTTACCAGCCTCCTCGCCACGCCGACCCACCCCGGGGACCAGAGGAAATGCAAACTGCCAGCAAGCCCTGGGGACGCTGTCACTGCACGGTGGAATGAAATTCAGATACAAACAAAACTACATAAAGTTCCTGCTCGACCTCATGCCTAATCAAACGACAACAACACCAGAAACGGACTTCAAGGCCGCATTTCCACGGAGAGGATGCTCCGAAGGCGAAGTCAAGTGCAGCACACAGACCTGGAGCAGGGCGTGGCCAAGGCGAGTCGCAGGGACGGGGCCGCCCTTGTCGGGGAGGACCCGGCCCGGCTCCTGGCCGCACCCTCGCGGGAGGGGTGGGTGCTCACCTGGTAGGTGTCCCACAGGCGGACGGTGCAGCTCAGGGGCAGCTCCCTCATCAGCAGGTTGTTCATCCAGCGGAAGGCAAACTGCAGGTACCTGACCTCGTGCTGGTCCAGGTGCCGGTGGACTTGCTCTGCGGGAGACAACACAGGCCCCAAGGCGGTCAGGAGTCTAGGTCCACCAGCAGCCCCGCATCCCTTCCCCGAGGCCCCGTGCCCGCCTCAGAAGCCCCTCCACCCACCCCAGCACTGCCTCCCGAGGAGCAAGGAAGTAATGAGTGCTTTCCAGCACAAGGCTCTTCCTCTCGTTCCGCCACGGGCGGCGGCGGAAGCAGTATCCGGGATCACGACAGCTCCGTGCATTGAGCGTGTGCCCCGTGTGGGACGCCCCATGCCCCCCACCAGCAAGGTGAGCAGCCCCCTCCTGCCTCACACATGGGCACGTTGGTCTGAGAGGCCAGGGGACACCCTGGGACCCGAGGCAGAGCCCAGGCTGACCTGCATCTGTCTGGTCCCACGGGTGGTGTTCCAAGAGAGGGGACAAGCTCCTGGCTTCCAAGACACCTTCAGTCTCGTGCCAGGCAAATGCCCCATGTGCTCCCATCCTGGCCAGTGAGGGGGCAGGCAGGCACACCCCCGGACCCCTGGTTTGGGGCCCCGAGAGGAACCAGGCCCGCTGTGCGATCTCCCACCAGCCACAGGGTCCTTCTTCCTCATGGCACTGCACAAGCTGCATCTCCACAGCCGAGTCCCCAGCGTCCCCCACCCAGCCTCCCTGCAGGGTGACAACAACCGCTGGAAAGGCTGCAGATCTCGGGCGCTCTGCAGTGTGGGGTCCTGAAAGGGCCCCTCCAGGGGGCAAAAGAAAAGGGACTAGCGCCTTTTCCCAGCATGCTGCCCACCAAGTGTGCTCGAAGGGCCCGGTGAGCATGGGTGCTGCCGTAACAAGCAGGCGTGGCCGATCCTCCAGGCTGGGAACCAGGGCGCTCCCACACTGACTTCTTGAACCGGGGCCCCCAGGACTGCTAACTGCCCTGCTTTTGCACACACCCCTTCTTCCACGTCCTGACTCACACGGCCCTTCTCTCTGGGTCTTACCTCCCCCATCGGTCTGCCCTGAGAAGCAACCCTGAAAAGAGGTCTCCCAAAGGAAGTTCTAGAAATGGCACCAAACCAGTGTAAGAGAGAAGCTGTAGCTCTGCTGTTCACGGATTTGTCTTTATGCCTGTTCCTGATTACTTACAACGGCGCAGGAACTTACTTACGGAACCACTAAGCGAGAGGGAGGGGGCGGGGGGAGCCGGAGGACCCTGCCCTGAGACCTTCACCAGGTTTTAACATTCGGGAAGGCAGTGCCGACTCCAAGCGTACCCCGTGGATTCAAGTGACTTTTCATGGGTTCCGGAGCCCTGAGCGTTTGTTCACGACCCTCATCCTGCACAGCAAGGCGGAGGCTCGCCAGCTGAGGGGCCGGCAGGACCCAGACCTCCCAGGGTGCCCCCCGGACACGATGCCCTTGGGGTGGCGGCCTCGTCCGGGCCCGGCAAGCGGTGAGTGCCCGGCACGTCCATGGATGGGGGGGGAGCGAGTCTCCCGGCCGGGCCCCGTGCCCGCAGCGCCGTGGGCTTCCTCAGCTACAGAAGGGCGCCAATCTCAAGCGGGGAAGACAAACAACCCGGACAAGCGCCTGGGGGGCACGTGGCACTGTCCTGCCGGAAAACAGCAAGCCACAGGTTTGGGAAATTAAACACATATTTCTGGAACGTCTGTCACTGAAGGAACCTAACCAGATAAAAATTAACCCTTTCCACCTGAGGGGCCCCCCACCCCGTCTCAGGCTCGGGCAGAGGAGACCACCCAGCCAGATCCAGTGGCCGACAGCCCTCCGGCAGCTCCCGCCTGCAGCACCCTCACCTGCGCCCGCACGAGGCCAGCGAGGTGGCTCGGCCAGTGTGCACGTGAGCCTCAGATGGGACCCCCGACCATCGCCCTCCTTGTCCTGAAGGGACCCCACAGACCCGCCCGGCATCCCCGGGCACCAGCTGCCTGGGCACAGCCGTGCCCTCTGCAGACGGGGGCAGACCCCTCCTCCACAGGGAGGCTCCTCACTCATCAGCTCTTTCAGGGAAGCTAATCAGGGCCTCCGCGTACCCCACCGCCCGTGACAGTGAAGCCCCAGAGGAGACACGGCCACTGTCCTGTCCTCCAGGAGCCTGGCCACTCGCAGGAGAGACAGAAAGAAAATGCAGCCTTGAGCCTCAAAGTTGTCTCTTTCACCAGGATTACCGACTCCGAGTATCCAGAGCTTCTGGGCTTCTCTTCGCCCTGCCACGGGCCCGAGCTCCTGAGCGGGGCTACGGAGGCCACCTCGTGCCCACCCAGTGGGGAGGCGCCTTAGGGGAGCGCCCGCCAGGCAGCTCACCCCCCGGCCAGGCCACGTCAGCTGGGTTCTGGCCAACAGGAGCAGCCACCCCAGAACAACGGGGGCAGGCCTCGTCCACGCGGACCGGCCTTTGTTCTGAGGCTGGGCCTTCTCTGGAAGCAGTGATGGAGAGTGACGGAGCGGGCCAGCCACCGCTCTCCCACCACCTTCTAACGTGCCGCCTCTGACGTGAGCATGGTGAGAAATGGACTACTAAACTCTAGGCACTACTTTCAATTTATATACATCAGGGTGCAAATGTTTATGCTGAAAAGATTCATTTTTCCTGTTTTGTAAGTAATTGTGAGCAGATGCTCCATCACTGATAAAGGTAATTTGGTTAGCAATAATTCTGAATTTGAAATTTCCATTCCACTGGAAGTCAGAGTGTACACAGAGCGAACGAGCAGGCAGATGTAATTATTGTCATCTTTCAGGCTGAAGAGATAGATGCTTTTCATCAGACCCTTCCGCGGCAGGCCAGGGCGGGGACTGCTGCGAAGTCGCAGCAGGCGGCTGTCCCCCAGCACGTTGGACGCGGCGCCGGCACCCGAAGCCGCGGGCCTGCAGACGGGCGCTCCTGCTGCAGCATCCTGTCTCCTCAGTTGAAAATAAAAATAAACAACACACACACACTGTGTCCCAGGATTTACGCTAAAAGGAAAAAACCTGTACCCCCTCGACACGGCAGAGAAACACGTGCTGTTCAGGCGCGGCCAGCGCTACTTAGATTAATTTGCCCAAAGAGTGAACACAGTTGCTCGCACAAAGAGACCCGCCCAAAGCCCGTCCACAACGCCAAGCACAGACGTGACTGCATCAGGCTTCCACTGGGCGAGGCCAGAATAGGCTTTGAAGGGGTAAGATTTCAATTCCCTAACCTGTTCACAAGAGAAGAAGAACAAAAACACGAGCCCGCTGTCACTGAACACGGGCCCCTCTGCGTCCAAGGAGGCCCTCGCCCTGGGCTCACCCGCCTTGTGTGCAGGGCTTGCTTTACGGTGAGAGTAAACAGCTACACAGAGGCGCCAGGCCCCAGAGGCAGGGCTGAGCCACACCCCGCGAGGACCCAGGGCCCACGGCCGTGCCGAGGGGGCCGGAGAAAGAGGCCAAGGCAGAGAGCGACACGCACCAGGCCCGGCCCACAGCTCCGGGGAGCAGCAGCCCGGGACCCCGCTGCAGACAGACCTTCCGCGGCTGCCCAGGGAGGTGCACCGGGGGACAGAGGCCCGAGCTGGAAGGGGACCGGGTGGCAGGGGGAGTGAAGGACACAGAGCAGAATCCAGGCCCCATGGTTCCACTCTCCAAGCAGAGGACACTCCCCAGCAAATCCTCGCAGGCCAGCAGTCCTGCCAGCCCCACATCGGGGCAGTGAGGAGGCCTGAGTCTGGGCTGCTGGACTGCCCTCTCCCTCTGCAGAGAGCCCGGCCAGACTGGTGAGTCGTGGAAAGACCTCGAGTTTCAGGGTTAGGAGAACTGAGGTCCAAACCCAGGTCAGCTTCTGGAAGGTTCTCTAGGCTCTCAGGGCCTCCAGGTGCCCCCCTGGAAAACAGGGCGGGCCGCAGCTCCCGCACAGAACCCTCTCATGAAAGTTCCTGACACAGGGGAATGCCAGCAGTGGGCATGTGACTGGGTCCAGACCAAGAATGCAGAGGAGACGGCAACTGAGCCTCACCCAGAAATAAAACCACAGTGGAAGCTCTGACCAGGCAAACGGGGCCTCCACCAAACGGCCAGGGAGCCTGCCGTCAGCTGTCTCCATGATCCAAGCTGTAAGCAGACGCAGCTTCAGGCCGACAGGTGCAGCTCAGGCTCCCCGCGGACTCTTCTCAGCAGCACAGCGCAGGGAGCGAAGGGACAGGGCAGAGGGGACTAAAGACGTAAGGACCTGGACACACGGGGGCAGGAGGCCAGGCTGGGGGCCGTGGGTGTGCAGGACCAGAGACGGGAGCACGAGGCCCACCCTGCAGCCCACGGCGGGACGCACCTTCCCGGTGCCGGGTGGGGTCCCAGCTGTCAGACGTCAGGGAAGAGGCGCCGGGGCCCACGACGCAGTCAGTCGTGCCCGCGCGACGACTCCAGACGCCCGGGCTCAGCGAGCTTCCCAGAGGGTGAGCGCGCGGACACACGGGAGGGCGACAGGCCCTGACGCGGGCGCCGAAGGAGCTCCGAGTCCCAGGACCCTCCCCAACCTCGTCCTACGCCTGTCTCCCCTGGCTGGCCCTCCTGAGCCGCACCTCCTGTGACATGCTTTCCCAAGCTCTGCAAGCCACTCAGGCAAGTGACTGCAGCGGGGCCCGGGGACTGCGGCCTTCATCGCTGCTCGGTCAGACATGCGGCACTGGGGGCCACGGGGCGTGGCTGGAACCCCCCGGAGAACAGAGCCCTCCGTGTGGGGGCCTGACGCTAACTCCGGGCGTGCGGTGGGGCATCCATTTTGGACTCGTGTTTCAGCAGAGGACTTCTGCCAGCATTAAAGGACCCTGAGAGCTGAGATCCAGACACACATCAGGGCAGGGGCCACACTGCACTTCTCCAAAAATCACTCCTCCCAGGCTGACGTGACACCCAGGCCAGGCCGCGTGGTGGCTGATCTCTCACGGGCTCCCCAGGGGAGGGTGAGGGAGGTGGCTCAGACCCTGGAGGCACCACCCGCTTGTAAAGCTGTGGTGGCACAGCCCCCGGAAGAGGTCACAGCAGGCCGCCTGGCCT